CATTTCCAATACGTGTGCACACGTCCCCTCCAATCATCCCCTCCAACTTGGAGTGGGGATGATCCGTTCGGCCACGCGCGCGCGCATGCTCGCACACAAGCAACGCGCCGTATATACGTGTGCACACGTATTGGAAATGTGAACCGAATATTACCGAATCTCACCGGAAAGAGTCGATGTCAGATGAGTCCTCCCGCGCCCCGAATATCAGACCCCTCTTGCCCAGAGTCGTAGCTAATGCTCCGTCTATAGAAGTCTATGGTCTACTCCGCATGTATTACACAGAGAGAGTAACACAAGAAGGAGAGAGATAGCCGAAATGGATTTGATATAAAAAGGACTAAAGATACAATCAATTTACAAAATGACACTGAAAATCTCAACGATATTTATGACCGAATCATAGATTTAATTTAATTTCTGACACTATCATTTATTTATTTATTTATGTTATTTATTACTTGACCTATTATTTGACTTTCACTTGTTTGTACCGATATCCTTTACATATCGAATTTTAGTCAGTCATGTTTTGTCAGTGCTCAAGATAAGTTCACGTAATATGTAAGTCCATATGTCTGTTTAAAAATATCTTTGTGGCTTCTCTCTTTCTATAACACTCTCGAATTTAGTTTAGGATTATAATGACCATCCTCACAACACCACTAAATACACGTGATCCTATGCACGATTAATACAGGTAATACACATTTATACAACCGTCAAACTAATATCACAAATGTTAACACTGTATCAATCTGTAAAATTTAAAATTGCAGTTACACTTGCTTGAAAAGGACCAAAACCCATGGTCGAAACGTAGCGATACGAAATTATTAAAATTGCCAGATATGGTCAACCAAATTATATGTTTTTAAATTATAATCTTTGGAACACTGTAACTCAGTGAAAAATGATCCAATTTCAAAAAATAAAAAGCCGTTGTATTCGTCTCAATGTCACCTACGACATTCACTGGAACATAAAAATCGGTTGCCATTTGCAAAAATGGCCGCCATGTAGAAATCTCGAAAGTGGCGCCACCTACAATTAAACTGACATGGCCAACTTCTGCCTCCCTTGGAACCATAAAACTATTGTTTAAAACATTTTTCCTATCTCTTTTATTTTAAGAGATATTTAGCTGCATCACTTAAAATGATACACTCTGTATATAAAGAGTGAGTCAGTATAACCTTTTACCATTGAAAATACAAGTTCAGAATAAAATTCTAAGATGAATTTTCCTGTTGTAAAACTTTGGTAAAAGCTTATTTCTCGAGATATAAATAAAAATTGTTACTCTATCACACGTCGAATAGAGGAGGTAGGCAGGGGCGGCGCAACTCACAGTCAGGCGTGGGCTCTTTCGTGGGGTGGCCGTTGCG